TCCTTCCATGCTTGTATCATTGTATCCTCCTCCTTTACCTCTAGAAGCCCTGAAGCTGCAATGTCTGACAATGCCAAAAACCCACGAACCCTCTTTTCTTTTTCCCAACCATCCTGTGGTGTTGGGTCCTCGTTTTGAAGAGACAGCGCCCCGCGTCACCTCCTCCTCCTCCTCCCGCCGCCCCCTCCCCCTCCTCCCATCTCTCGCTGTCCTTCCTCTCCTTCCGTCCCTGCCTTTGCCTTCCGCAAGCCAGCATCGTTCATCGTCATCATCGCAGGGCCCCTCCCCCTCCTCCCATCTCTCGTTGCCCTCCCCCTCCTCCCATCCCTGCCTTTGCCTTCCATAAGTCATCATCTTTCATCGTCACCACCGCAAGTCCACCGTTTCGGCACACCACTCCCGCGGTTCGTGGCCCCACAAGGAGCTCCACCGAAGGCTCCAGTGGCAGCGGTTGCATGCGTCAACGCCACTCATTTCGGCACACCCCTCATGCGGTTCGTGTCCCCATTCTGGTGGCAACGTTTGCACGCGTCAACGCCACCCGTTTCGTCACACCCCTCACACGGTTCGTGGCATAAGAGGGGGCTCCACCGAATGCTCCAGCGGCAGCGGCTGCATGCGTCAACGCCACCCATTTCAGCACACCCCTCACGGTTCGTGGCCCCACAGGGAGCTCCACCGAAGGCTCCAGTGGCAGCGGTTGCACGCGTCAGCGCCACCAATTTAGGCACACCCCTCACACTGTTCGTGGCCCCATAGGGAACTCCACCGAAGGCTCCAGTGGCAGCAGTTGCATGCGTCAGCGCCACCCATGTCAGCACACCCTTCACACGGTTCGTGGCCCCATAGGGAGCTCCACCGAAGGCCTCAGTGGCAGCGTTTGCATGCGTCAACGCCACCCATTTCGGCGCAGGTTCGTGGCCCCATAGGGAGCTCCACCGAAGGCTCCAGCGGCAGGGCTTACATGCGTCAACGCCACCCATTTCGGCGCAGCCCTCACACGGTTCGTGGCCCCATAGGGAGCTCCACCGAAGGCTCCAGCGGCAGGGCTTACATGCGCCAGCGCCACCCATTTCGGCGCAGCCCTCACACGGTTCGTGGCCCCATAGGGAGCTCCACCGAAGGCTCCAGCGGCAAGGTTTACATGCGTCACCGTCACCCATTTCGGCGCATCCCTCACACGGTTCGTGGCCCCATAGGGAGCTCCACCGAAGGCTCCAGTGGCAGCAATTGCATGCGTCACCGTCACCCATTCCGGCATCCCCCTCACACGGTTCGTGGCCCCGCAGGGAGCTCCACCGAAGGCCCAGTGGCTGGAGGCCCCAGTGGCATCGTTTGCATGCGTCACTGCCACCCATTTAGGCACACCTCTCGCGCGGTTCGTGACCCCATATGGAGCTCCACCGAAGGCCCCAGTACCCGAAGGCCCCAATGGCAGGGTTCACATGCGTCACGGCCATCCCTTTCTAGGAAGTGCTGGACGATGTTCACACGAGGGTTTTGAAATGCACTCGGATTCTCATTCATCGGTCTATGTGCGTGCAACCACGCTATACATAGGTAGGGGTGAGCTCCGAATTTGTCGAGTCTGATTGGCATCTTGTGTTTGCTGTTCGGTGTCTGAGTTCTGGGGTGACGATTGTATCACCTTTCTATGTTGTTATCTAACCCATCAGATCAGAGAGACCAGCGAAGAAAAAATGATTCCTGCACACTTATCGAGTACCACCGAGAAACGGCGGCGTGACTTGCCCCACACAAACCCACCCAAACAAAAAAACGGCGAGCAGAACGCAAATCTTCAATGAACCTCATCGAACAAAACAGTGATGACGACACGCCAAAACACTTACCGGGACGCATGCGAACCCTGCCACAAGGGCCTTTGGTGAAACTCCCTGAATCTCCCTATGAAGCCACGTGCCGTGCGAGGGGTGTGCCAAAATTGGACTTGGGACGCATGTGAGCCCTGCTATTGAGGCGTTCGGTGGGGATCCCTATGCGACCACGAACCGTGTGATGTGTGTGTGTGTGTGTGCGTGTGCGTGTGTGTGTGTGTGTGTGAGAGTGTGTGCGCCTAGCTCTTAACCGGAAGAGGCCCGCTCTCGACCCGCAGACCAAAAAGTGTGTGTGTGTGTGTATGCGTGCCCAAATTTGCCAGGGGGCATCTGTGAACCCTAACACTGGGGCATTCGGTGGCCCCCCCCTATGAGGTCACGCGCCCCAAGGAGGCCCGCGAGCAAGCAGCGGTCCGCATCACGCGACCCAAAAAACGCCGAGGAACCCCGGAAAAAAAACGGCGACGAAAGATCCTGCGAAGACTTAATGCACTCCCCGAGAAAGCGGGAAACGGCGACGCCCAACTTGGGGGAGTTACCGACTGGAGTCTCCGTTGAGGGGGGTGATACGATTGCGTGCGCGAGCCTGCTGTGCAGGTGCACGGAGACATCGTCGACGTAATATTATGTATTTTTGGTCCTTGACCCGTGCCCCTGGAACTCTCGACCTGTTCCCTGCTTTTGTTTTTTTCGGCCCGGGTCGTTTCCTGATGGGCCCCGGGTCCGAAAGCGCTGTCTTCACAAAATCACGGCGCGTCGGAGGTCTGGGCGCAAGAGAGAAAGGAGAATGAGCCGGGAAGAGAAGGGAGACAACACGGACGCGCACGGTGCTTGGGCCACCGCGGGCTCCCTCCTTCGTCTTATATCCTTCGCGGTGTACTCGCAGCTGCATATGGTTGGGTCCTTCGTCAGGCTACTCCGGATTCCATAATAAAGTAAGGGGGGTTATATTTGGCGGGGGGGTCTGATTTGAGCTGTCTTGAAGGGTTAGGGGGGGTCTGGGCAAAGTGCCGCCCTTTCATGGATGGTCTGGGGGGGTCTAAAACTTGTGGTCTGGGAGGGTTGTGACCCCCTCCATTTTATTACGAAATCTGGAGTAATTTTTGTCGAGCGGCAGGCGAGCACACCAAGATAACAGGCACCCACTTCAATGCGAACTGGGCTGAAACTTGAGAGCGACATGGCCCTTGGCATAGTAGGACTACCCGCCGGTGGTGCTGCCAAAGCTGCGCTGGGCGGGGGGGTCGAAACTGAATTCATGGCTCTCCAAGCCAAGCCCCCGCTTGTCCAGTCTCGCTTGTTGAACTTAAAATGCCGCTCTAGAAAACTTCGTCGTCGTTCAAACTCTTGCGGCCCATCCACTCACGCCGAGTTCCCGATGGTCGTGCCACTGCTTTCGGGCACGCCCTGCTCCTGCAGCTTGCCGAACACGGGCTTCCCCTTCTTCTCGAGGCGGATCAGCAAACACGTACCACACGCACCGAGAACGGCGAGGACGCCCAGCACAACGATGACAGCGATGATGCTGGCATCCAGCCCCGAGCTCTCCTCCAACTCTTCCGTCAAGCGAGCGATCTCGTCCGCATTTTCGTCGAAAGCCTCGTACTGTTTCGCGCATGTGAAGTAGTCCCCATCGTCTGCCGCGCAGAACATGTCGTTTGCGCACGCCGTGAGCCACGCGTCGCAATACGAAGCCTTGATCGGCATCTGGTGCATCTGCCACGTGTTGTGGTCACAACCCTGGGCTGTCGCGTAGGCCTCGTCGTACTCTTCCGCGTAGGCATCGCATCTGGGGTCGTAAGTATCAGAATCCCACTTTCTGAAGAGGCCAGCATTCGGGTCGCACTCGTAGAAGCACGCCTCCTGAACGAAGAAGCGCTCACACTCGGGGCTCAGCGGGCCGCAGCGGTCCCAGTGGTACTCTGGGCCGTAAGACTCCTTGAGCTTCGTGGCGCTCATGACGGTAGCATGGCTGCAACAGGCGTTCTCCTTCCAGGGGTGGCACTCGGTGAAGCCATCGGGCTCGGGCCCCGGAGTGTCTTTGTGGAAATAATCCAGGTGGCACACCTCGTGGTCGCCTGTCAGGAGGCCAAGGCTCTCAGAGACCGCGTCGTTGGGGTTTTCGGCGTCCCAGAACCACATGGTGTAGGCGCTGGACTCGTCCTCTTCGTAGGCGAAGGCGTCGTTCCACATATTCTCGCACAGCTCTTTCCCGCTGGCATAGATCTCGTGGAAAGGCTTGCACTGTGGCGCCGCGGTCCCAAGGACGGCGGCTGGCGCGGCAATGACCGACGCAATGGCGGTGGCAACCGCGGAACGAAGAGCCATGGTGGGGCAACTACGCGGAAGCGAGACTGCGGGAGGAATGAGAGGTCTTGTGGTTGTTCCCTGCGCAGGTCCTAACCTGATCAGGTTCAAGCGGTATGTTCTCAGCTCACTTAGAGTGGGCACCCGCACAACCGATGGTGGCGAACTTGAGCCAAAATGGCTACGGTCACCCTCTTTTCTTGAAGCATCAAAGCGCCAGTGTCTGACACCACAGTCCGCACGCGCGACAGCCAGCACAAGCTGCGGCATGGCATGTCCCACATGCACGCCCCACTGGTCACTCCTGGACGGCTGGATGGGTCGCAAATTCTCTGGCATAACCCTGCGTCTCTGTCAGAACCATCCAAACAGTCTCCTGATGCCCCCCCCTCCGTCCTCATCCGTCCTCCTCCTCCTCCTCCTCCTCCTCCTCCTCCTCCTCTTGAGACCGTTTTTTTTGGAATCGGCGACAACCCGGGTTATCCAGGGGGGGGGGAGGAGGAGGGGGCCGGCCGAACCTAACCCTCGCGCTGTGGGCAGCCCTGCATATGCCCGCGCCCCCCCCTCCCGCGGACCTGCACAACCAGCAAGGTCAGGTTATCCTATGTTATCCTGGGGGGGGGAGGGGGGGCAAGCCCGATGACCCGGGTCATCGCCCGACCCCACGGGCAAGCCCGATGACCCGGTCTCCTTCCTCATCCTCCTCTACGGGAGATGGGGGGGGGGTGAGGAGGACGGCCAGAGCACTGCGCCCAGGGACGACGCGCCGCCGCCGCCGACGACGACGACGACGAGGACGAGGACGCCGACGACGCCGACTCCGACGACGAAACCGTCCCCCGAAGGGGGTGCCGCCTCCGACGGCCGCGCGAAGGCCACCAGCAGCTCCTGCACGGTCTCCTGGGGCAGCCTCCGCTGCGGCGGGCGGGAACGCCGGCACCGTCGATACGACCCGACCCGACTGAGGGGGCCCTGGGACACACAGATAAATAGGCACAAATAACAGGATTCCCCATGTCTCCCAAATTTTCTGGGTTTTCGTCTGCCCCCCCACTTTCCATATTTTCCCATATTTTCGTGGGGATCGATGATTCATTGTGTCTGTGCTTTTTCCCCCCTCCTGACCGACCCGACCCGAGAAGATCGGACCGATGCGAGAGCACAGTCGGCGGCGAGCGAGGGCGGGAAATGAGAAGGAGAAGGCCCTCCCGAAGGCCTTCTCAGAGGGCGGCGGGACTTCTCAGAAGCCCTCGCGCCTTCTGAGAAGGTTATGCTGTGTCTTCGGGGAAGGCTCAGAAGACTTCTCAGAAGGCCGGGGGCTTTCCGAACCTTCTGAGAAGGCCTTACCATTCTCACTTCCCCACCTCGCTCGCCGCCGACACACCGAGCCAGCCCGAGCCGAGGCCGTAATGGTTGTGGCGGGCATCCCGATGCCTTGTCATGCATCATCAGGCTTCGTGCCCTCACCACTTCACCAGTCTCGCCAATGCCACCTCCTGGGAAGCCCCGCCAGACCGAGGCACGCATATGGAGTCCGCGTCCTTCATCAGGCCTCGTGCCCTCCCCTCTCCACCAACCTCGCCAGCGTCCGCCGTCCGCCGTCCGTCGTCCGTCGTCCGTCGTCGTGGTCGTCGCCACTTGACCCTCTCAGGAGGCCCCGCCAGGTCGCGGCCGCCCCCGGGGCCGAGGCCGTGATATGGTCGGGGCCTGGGCCAGAGCGCTCCCGAGGCGACTGCTGCATGGACGATCGCAGGGAGGGTATGCCGCTCGACCCTCGAGGCTCAAGGAGCTCGCCGATGTTGTCGCATCTCTCGTGCCAGCTGGCTCGGGGCCCAAACTGAAGACCTTCGGCGGTTCGCATCCAGGAGTAAGAGGTATTCCTCAAGAGCTCACGGGTGATTTGGAGAGGGATCTGCGCTTATAGATTTTATTATTAAAGTCAATTTAAATGCGTTAGATCTCTTGGAGACCTCTTGAAATATATTAAAAAAATCGAATTAAATGGGCGGGGGTCAGACTTTTGGGGGTCGGAGCCCACGAGGGGCTGCCGCCGCAGCCCGCCTCGGCGGCGCGCGGCGACTGGCGGCGCGCGGGGGGGCGGGTCTTCCTACTCCCTGCGGTGCAGCCAGGACGCGGACATGAGGACCGCGTAGGGCGCTTATCGGCGCTCTGAATACAATCGGACCTGGGCCCAGAAGAACACTCTCGAGACCATGAAACCCCCGCCGGCCAAAATGCGCAGAGCATCCAGGGGTACCCTCCCCAAGGACGCACAACAACATCTAACGAACACGCAAAACATCAGGGCTCTCTCACCCAGCCGACCTCGATCTTATGCCTTGATCTGGGTGCAACCACCAGCACAGAATTCGTTACGCATCGGATCTCCTCATGCACACGCACTATATACAAGTGTGTATGTGTGTGTAAACCAAAAATGATGCTACCCCAATACCTCCTTATCACCAAAAAGGTGGTCTGCGCGGTACCCGCCAGTGTTCTCGTAAAGCCCAAAAGGACCGCTGGAGGGCCTCGCAAAGACGATCCCGACGCCGAGGACGACAACAGCCCTATAGAGAACGACGACGAGAAGACCAACGGCCCAAATCCGTGCCGCGCGATACGGCCGTCAGCGCCAGGTAGGACGAGGACGACGAGAGGGATGATGATGATGAGGAGGAGGAGGAGGAGGAGAAGGAGGAGGATGAGGACAAGGACAAACAAGGAGGAGGAGGAGGAGGAGGAGGAGGAGGAGGAGGAGGAGGAGGGAGGAGAGGAGGACGAGGAGGAGGAGGAGGAGGACGAGGAGGAGGACGAGGAGGAGGACGAGGAGGAAGGAGGAGGAGGACGAGGAGGGGAGGAGGAGGAGGAGGAGGAGGAGGACGAGGAGGAGGAGGAGGAGGAGGATTTTTTTCACCTGGACCTTTTCCTAGCCTGGTCTCAGGCTAGGACCCAAGCGGTGACCTCATGCGGTGGCTGACTTCGGCAGCAACCCACGGGCCCCGACAACAACGAGCTAGTTCGAGCCACCTCTGGGCTCATAGCTCACGCGAGCAGCTTTCGAGCGAGGACCCTCCGCACCATCCTCACAGCTCAGCTCGCGGCCCCTCGCCCCACTCTCGTTGGAGGGAGCCGAGGGAAAAGAATTCACAGCCTGCTGCACTGACTCGGCACGATTGGCGGCGTGTCGAGCAAACTTGTTGGGCCGAGCTTCGGCGCCAGAAACAGACGCGGGGCGGATACTCGACCCCTGGTCTGCAGGGGTCGAGTGGAACAACTGGGGAGTGACAGCAGCAACCACGACCCGCACGACAGACGACTGGTCGACGACCTCCTCACGCTGCTGCCCATCTCCCGTGAACGGCATTACGGTGTCATCCTGCATAAGACTGGTGCGGGCGAACTTGCACGGGCGCACATCATGCCAACAGGAGCGCGGGCCACTCGGGCCACTCGCTGAGATTGCTGCAGCAGCAGTATCGACAGACGAAGACTCAACGACAGAGTTAAGCTGCTGCAGCTCCTGGCTCGCAGGTTGCACGGACGACGTCTCAACGGCAATTTCTTCCTGCGAGCCAGGGTGTGAATCCACAACTTCTGGTGAGATTTCCACGGTCACACCTGGAAGTCGTGGGTGCCGACCCTTACATATTCTGTACTTCCATCTCTCAGCATTGTTCCTGGTTGGGCGTCCGCACTGCTTACCAAGGAGAGCCAGCGGACCCAGGGTCGAGACAGCCTTGCAACTGACACAAACGAACAGCGGCGAGTCATCGCTGCACTGGAATGATAAAAGCCTGTGTCCGAGAGCCGAGACCTGCCACAAAGTGTCGGGAATAACGCCAGAACAACCCTCACATGCAGGCTTGCCTGAACTACCGAAGATTAACGGAGTGGGATGCTTCGTGCGCAAGCAAACGCCACAACGCCAATAGGAGCGGCACCACTCCCACACATGCTCAAACTCAGTGCCAGGTTTCCCTTTGATTTTCTTAGGGGGCCTGGCCAGCTCAACCCCGCTGAGGTCGAGACGAGGCCACTGCGGCAAAATCCGAGCGGCCCGGCGGCAAACAGCCTTCGCAACGCTGATTTTGTGCGCAAGGTCGGTCAGTTGGGCGTCCGTGGGCCTAGGATGCGTGGCAAGACCAGCCTTGGCAGCCTCATCAGCTGCATCATTACCAATTTTTAAAAATCGGTCCCTGTCGGACAGGTCGTCCGAGTCCACTACATGGGCCTTGACTTTGTGGAGGGTTCCCGACCACCGCGAAGAAAAGCTAGAAAACATGAGCCCCGCGTAAGGCCTCTTATGGGACAGCTTAATGGCGGGGGGCTCGCCGTGGGCACGAACAACGTCGAGGCAGTCGGAGTACCCAGTAGAGGGGCCTACAAGGCACTGGGAGGAGGCTTCGAGGGCACCGTGCTCCCCAGCCTGGCGGGTCTGGGGGAGGGGGGCCCAAATAGGCCCAAACGCACTAAACAATTTAGAACCGTCGTCTGCGTGGGCTGTAAAACCCCAGCTTGCCCTGGATAACTCTTTAATGATGTGTCTCTGACAGCTGCCGTCCATGAATATATGACCCGAGACCGCCGCATCGACCCTATCAGGCTCTCCTTCCCGCCTGGTCTGGGTACCTCCTTCACCACGAGGACGGGGAACCGAGTCACCTGGGTGCGGGAACAGACCCTTAGTATAGAGGAGGAGGGTAGCAGGATCAGAAAGATCGCACGACCGAGCATCTCGCTGGATCCGATCTTTCACAAGGTCGTCGCGATCTTCCTGAACGCTGGGGCAGAACCACAGGCGGTGCATGAGGCTGTCAGATGCAGCCGAGCACAAAGGGCAGAGATCGGAGTCGAGCTGGTAGCCCAGGGCGATCGCACGGTCCCTGGTCCAGGTCGCCCCACAGCTAAGCCCGCGGATGCTGCCCTTCTCGAGGGCCGTGAATTTGCTAGAGTGGAGCTGGGCCTCCACCACATCGTAGCACAAGCGCTTGCCAACAGCTAACGCCTGGCCTGAGTCTCTCTGCAGCTGGCGGAGGACCCCTTTCAACCAAAAGCTTTTTGACCAGGGGGGGGGGGGGGGAAAGACGTGAGCCCAATAGTTTCCCCGAAATCGTTAATGAGCTCAGTGAAAGACTTCGCACCCCAGTGGATACGCTGCAGAGAGAGCTTCATGCCCCCCAAAGGCCCAGCAACAGTACGCCACGAGTGGTCCTTACCGTCAGGATCCCTGATGAAGATGGTCTCCCAGGCTTCGCGCAGAAACTTGAAATCCAGGGGATACTTGAAAATCCTAACCTGGTTGGCCCAGACCTCCTTGCTGTAACGAATGACAGGAGCGACAGCATAGGTAGCAGTAGGGCCCCTCTCAAGGATGAGCAGGGACGTGAGGGACCTCATGCCAGCGGAAGGTTTCAGGACCCGACCGAGTCCCTGGCGGAGCCCCTGGAGCTCGAAGTCGGAGACTCCGTGGACCTCCGATCCGTACGTGACGCCCGCAAGGGGCCCCGACGTGAAAACTTTTCTGCAATGCCGCTGCCCCAGGACGCCTCAACCCCTTGAGTCGGGCGACCCTCTGCTTGAAAGCTTTGCACCTGCCAGAAAATTTGCGGCCGCGCCCAGCTTGCCGTCGGGGCCGACCAGCAGTGTCATCAACTCCTAGATTCACATCAGAAGAAATACATGAGGGTCCTCCCACATGCTCCAACAGTGACCTGATCTTGTTGCCGACGGCCTGGTCAGAGCAGATCACAGACGCCCTATCTTCAGAAACAACCACCTGCATATCGTCCGACAATACCGAATACAGTTGAGTGGCCCCCGTTACAATGTCATCGACGACTGATCTGGCCGACCCCGTAGCTTGCAATCCGTAATCATCGATGTAGATATCGAGGGCATCGCGGACTT